CCAGCCCGCTGCCTCCCCTCCACAGCTGCAGTAAAACCCCCCAAATAAACCCGAATATCTGCAGCCAGCCGCTGAGAGCAGAGGGCCTAACCGAATACGGAGGGAAGCCTCCCGCGGCGCGAGCATCTGTGGAGTGGTGCCAGGACCCCTCTCCAAAATTTTGCGTAGATAAGGCTTACCAGACTGAACGGCTGAAACACCCCAAAGTCCTCAAAGCTGACAGCACCTTTCTCCTCCCGGGAAAGCTTCCTCCGTCCCGGGCAGGCTTTGAAACGTGCTGCAAGGATGCTGCACCGGGTGGGTGTCCCCAGAGGCGGCGGGGGCGATAACAGCCCTTCCACGAAGAGGGAAGTACTCCCGCCTGCGTGCCGGAGATAGCGGGGAGACGTTGGGACTGGCTGGATTTTGTAAATCCCCAGGCAGCTCTGGGACTGGCTGTGCCCCTGCCACCGCTCCCCATCCGGGCCTGGGCTGGGCTGCACCTGCTCCCCAAACACCCGTCCCCTGGACACCGCGTCCTCGCTCATCACCTCCTGGTCACCCCTCGGCCCAGGACCCACCCAGGAGCTGCTGAGCGAAGACCAGTCCCTCCAGCTCGTCCTTCTCCCACCAGGGCCGGGGCCAGAGCTGCCGCACTGCCTGTGCCCATCCTCGCTGCTGGGGCAGTGAGAACCAGGGGGGCACTGGCCTCCTCCAAGCCGTGCCTCTGCTTGACCAGACCTCACCAAAGCTCCACAGACCCTTTGCAATTTTTCTTCTTAAAGTTATATGGAGCCTCAGCAAAAAGAGCGGCTCTGGTACCCACTGGAATTCATTTCTGTGCACAAAGGAAGCACTATGTCATTAAGGCTCCCATCTCACAGGTTGTTTTTCCCCTCTAGAAAATAAATGTGAATTTTGGGGGTGGTTCTGCACTTGAACATGGTGTTGGTGGGATGTTGTGCTGGTTGAGCTCCACCAGCAGCTGCCCCCAGCGCAGCAAATCACCCCGGCACAGCCGCAACACCCGAACCCTGCGCTGGGGGAGAACCCCCACGAACCCCAGAGCGTGCTGGAGGCACAGCCCTGCCCCGGCACTCGCCCTGCTTGGGTTTATTTAGTCACAACAGAGAGTAACCAAAAAACCACCGCTAAATCAAGAGAACCCCCAGTATCCACTTCTGTCCCAAGGACAGCAGGCGTAAGCCCGGCACCCCTGCTGCGGCCGTCCCAAGCCCGCGGGCAGAAGGGCGGCGCTGCCTGGCAGCACCCGAGGGCTCGGCCGCTGCAGGGGGCATTTTGGGGACATGAGGGGTGTCTCTGCACACCCAGGCCATCCCTGGGCAGGGCAGGGCAGGGCCCCGGCGCAGCGCCCGCGCGGGACGGCACCATCCCTATCTCGGCCTGGCAGCCAGCGCTGCCGTGAGGGCAAAGCCAGATTTCACAGAAGTGGCCGGGGCTGGGACGGGCCCTTCCCGAGGTGGCGGGACCCTCAGCCCGGTTCTGTGGCGACCAAGCCAGGGCTCGGTGAGTAGACCCACGGCCACCTGCCTGCCCACCCCAGGCACTGCCACCCGGCACCAGCACCCGCAGTGCTGACCTGCTCGCCCACGGGCCACCAGATCCTAAATCGGCCACAAAACCACGGCTGACAGACTCATTTGTTTGCATAAAATGCAAATAAAGCCGCAGCAGCGAGAGCTGGCTGATGATTCACTCGAGCCCCCGGACGCGCTGCCCTACTTTCACCCCAGTTTCACTAGTTTTACAATTCTTCCTCCTAAATTACTGACTCCCACCGCTGCTTCCTCACGCTGAGGGTCTGCAGCCGGGGGTGAGGGTCTGCAGCCTGGGGTGCGCAGGCGGCGCGTGCCCGGGACGTGGGGCCCGGTGGCACAGCTCACCATGGCGAGGGTCCCCAGGGCGCGACCGCCGCGGAGCGACTCGGGCTGGGTGATGTGGTGAGGGGACCTGCAGCACCCCGGTCGCTAACAGAGTGGACAGAAAGCCCCTCGGGGGGGACGACAGCCACCCCGTGTGGCCACCAACGCCCGGGCTCCCCTCGCGTCCATCCCCTCGCTGCAGCGGCAGGGAGCAGCGGCAGAAGCCCAGCGCTCGTGTGCCGACTGCTGGCACGGCTGGGAAGAGGCTTCAGCCGCGGGAGCAGCAGTGGGGACGGGGGGGATGGACAGGAGCCCCCGGCCAAGCACCCGCGGGCTGCAGCCGGGCTGGGATGGAGCCTCTGAAAGGGCCCGGGCTGGTCCCGCACCTCAGCGACCCGCTGCCGCTCCCACCTGGTCTGCATCCGCGACCCACGGAGGGCTTGGAGATGCTGTCACACGTGCCCTTCTCCTCCTCCCACCGAAGGATCAAATCAGGCCTGGATACACACCCGGGCCTGCTCAGAGGGGAGTTTTTGATTTTAAAAAAAAAAAAAAATCCAAACGAAAAGACCAAAACATCCCTGAATCAGTGCAGGACTCGACTCTGCAGCCAGAGCAGCCCCAGGCACCCGCCGGCCCTTTGCGGCAGGAGCCCGGGGCGGGCAGGGGCTTGGCCTTCCCCCCGCTGTCCTGCCAGGCAGAGCTGCCACCTCGGCCCGCATGGGGCCGGCGCTGACACCGCTCTGTGCAGCCCTCGAATCCCCCCGCGCTGGCGAGGGCTGGCCCAGACGCGGCAGCCGGCGAGCGGGGACACGGCAGCCAGCGCCTGCGGCAGCATCGGGGACACGTCCCTGTCCCTGGCCGCTCGCCCGCAGCCCCCCTGGCACTTATGAGGGGCTTCGTCCCAGCAGGGACCCGGGCACAAGAGCTGCTGCCAGCACAGGGGCACATTTTGTGTGGGATGTCGCGTCCAGCATCCCCGAGCACGGGGAAACCCCGCGAGAACCCAGCCAACACCTGCGAGGGGACTGCTGGCTCCTGACCCCACACAGATGGGTTACGTTTCCGGCAAAACTTCACCAAAAAATCAGTGAGAGTCAGAGGATGGAGAAGGTGTAGGAAAAGCTCAGAATTCACTGTGATTAGATGAGCCACATGCACGTCAATAAAAATTAATGTAACTGACAACAGCAACATGACAAAGGGGGAGGCGTCACTCCAGGGCGAGAGCAGCGTTGGAGCCGGGGGGG